ACAAAGAGCCTGTGAGTTGGGTATCTCGTCTGTGCATTTTCCTGGAGTACATTTATATGTAGTCTATTAGTATTACCTCATCCTACTGCTGCTTTTCAGCAATATTTTAGGTCATGTGTCTGTTTTGTGGGTTTGTTTCATTGAAACCTGGTAATGTGCTCTGTAAATCCAATTAACTGCCAGGTGCAAACATGCACAAACAGTGCAGATGAGGTACTTGAGAGTATGGGACCTGCTCAGCCACTCCACCTACAGTGTCCCTGTCTCTCTGCAGGGGACCCCACACCATATGCAGCCCCTTACTGCCCCTCATGCAGGAGCATAAGGTCTCAGGGTCAATCTATACACTGAATATTAGCAAAGCTAACTTTTTAATTTTCTTAGGTAAAATAGAAATTTGAATGTTACCTTCCCATACCCCAGCAGGTCAATTTGGAGCCCCTGGACCTATGCTATGTGAGGGGTGATGTCACTCTGTGGTCTTNAGCCATCTGGAGAGAAGAAGCGATCTGGCCACAGCGACAGCAATGGCTTCGCCGGCCACATCAACCTCCCAGACCTGGTGCAGCAGAGCCACTCCCCAGCTGGGACCCCGACCGAGGGCCTGGGGCGTGTCTCCACCCATTCCCAGGAGATGGACTCTGGGACTGAAGTAGGTGCTGGGCAACAGCTGCGACAGTTCTGTTCTTCTCCATGCGGTCTGAAAACCCTGCTCTCGTCAAGAACGAGGCTTTGTCAAGCTCCCTGAAATGTGTTTGGTTGGTTTCTATTATATAGCTGCTTATGCAGATACTCAAATAGAGAAATCATACAAACACAGCAATGAAAAGTTCACAGATGTCTTCTGGACCAATACCTTTTCTTACAAATGAGCATACTGAGGCTCAGAGAGGTTAAGTGACTGCCCAAGGCACACAGCTGGTTTGTGACAGAGCTAAAACCAGAACTGGGACCTCCTGTCTCCCAGGCCAGTGATAGAAACTTCAGGCTATAGAGATTTCAAGGGTAATGGTCGAGGTTTATATTTACATTAATTTAATCAAACTAAGTTTGACTTAAGGTTGAAATGATTTGTTTATGAAATATAGAAATTAATAAATAGATAAGTTCTTAAAGTGTACTCAAATTGTGTTAGAATGGAGAAGTGAGATATTTCTTTCCTGTATAGAAACAGTCCCAGGAGAAAAAGCTTGAATGAACACAATCCATTAGGCGATTGGAAGAGTTCACAGTATGTGGTCATGTTTGGAACCACACATAAGGCCCTACACGTGTTTACAAAGCATATGCACTATTGTTTTTGACATTGTGCACACATCATAAATTATGATGCATCATTTGGATTCTAAAGTTATACAGCAGATATGCTTTGTATACCCCAAAGAAAAGAACACAGAGGCCCACTGGAAAGTGCAGCATCCTGTCGTAGCTTCATGCTATATAGGCAGACATTTTCTGTGTGAACACCTCTGTCAGCACCAAGGAGGACCCTACAAGACGNTGACATTGTGCACACATCATAAATTATGATGCATCATTTGGATTCTAAAGTTATACAGCAGGTATGCTTTGTATACCCCAAAGAAAAGAACACAGAGGCCCACTGGAAAGTGCAGCATCCTGTCGTAGCTTCATGCTGTATAGGCAGACATTTTCTGTGTGAACACCTCTGTCAGCACCAAGGAGGACCCTACAAGACGGAACCCTGGTTCAAATCCTGCTCTAAGTGGGAATCTTAGTACCCACCCCACCTCCTTCACAGACTTCTTCCAGAGATCAAAGGAGAAAATGTATGTGAAAGTGCTCTGGGAGAGGGAATCCTAGCTTGAGCAGGATAAAATGGTTTTGATTTCATAGGGTAGAGGGAAAATCTTGAATTAAATCGGATTGGATCTTTGTGGTTTTCTCCTTATATGTTTAGGTCTTAGGATATTGGTTTTATTTTAAAATAAGAACCTAAAAATAAAACTAAAAATCTTTAGTTAAAAACANTATTGGTTTTATTTTAAAATAAGAACCTAAAAATAAAACTAAAAATCTTTAGTTAAAAACACTTAACCAAAGACAAGGTGCTTATTATGTTGAATACAGGTGTGTTTCTGATGGTTGAAGGATGAGTATAATAGAGGAATGGAGATGACACAAAATGGGGAGATGGTTATTGCAGCTCTTTTGGCAAAAATCGAGTATAGAATATTGTGATATGAAGCCCAGATATTATTGAATTACTGTTCCCTAGTCTATCTAGTTCTGACTTTTTTTTTTTTTTTGACGATTGGTTAGAATGGGAATCCAAGCCTTTGACCTTAGCATTATTAGCACCGTGCTCTATCCAAGTGCTGACTTCATGTCTTCATGGTACTACCCAAAGCCTTGAGATTTATTTTTTAAGTAAGACTTCAAGGTGCATTGCCCTCAAACCTAACATCTTCATGCAATCCCCAGATAAGGCATCCTTTTTAAGTATCCCATAGAAACGTATCCTTTTAAGGAAACTATCAAGGGAAGGAAAAATCTTCAATTTCTGGATGAAATCATCCCTGAATTAAAGATTTTAAACTTCTGAAGCCAACATTAATCCACCTGCATCACCAGGCCAGAGTGAAAGGGCCTGCCCAACCACCACCAAGAGGAAGCTTCTTGGGTTGACTGTGTTCAGGATGAAGTGCTGCTGCGTAGACATGCTTGCTTAGTTTATTGCCACTTGTGTCAGCTTTTCATAGTGGTCATTTGGTCCATATGAGATTGCTTTTACTTCAAGGGAGAGGTAAGCTCTGTCACCACACAGTGATCTCACAGATCTTATGGTGCCACATATAGTCCAAAATGTAATTTTCTCACCGCAGCTCTTGCAGTCATGTAATTGATGAAACCGCATACACATGCAGTGGCTAGTGAAGAACCACTACCAGGAGCAGCTGGAGAGAGGTGCGCACGTAGACTAGGGGGCTGGGGTATGAACAGCCGAATAGACCGAAGAGTCCGTAATCATCGTACAGCCCAGGCAAAGTATTGTTAGTGTTGTTCGTTCCTGCCGTATTTACTGATCTGCTCTTCTTAATCTTCTTGCTTGTTGGTCAGTATGGCATGGGGAGCAGCACCAAAGCTTCCTTCACCCCCTTTGTGGATCCCAGAGTATACCAGACATCTCCCACTGATGAAGACGAAGAGGACGAGGAATCCTCAGCCGCAGGTGAGCTAGCAGCCCCCAGTGTTATAGAAACAGCTTTGTTTTCCTTTCTGGAATGGCCTGATAAAGAAATTAATCATCAATTCAATAGTTAAGCCATTTATGCTTAGGCCCTGTTTTAAAAAGGAGATTTTCTGGGACCGACCCTGTGGCTCACTCGGGAGAGTGCAGCGCTGGTAGCGCCGAGGCCGTGGATTCGGACCCTACATAGGGATGGCCGGTGCGCTCACTGGCTGAGCATGGTGCAGACCACACTGTACCGAGGGTTGCAATCCCCTTACCGGTCAAAAAAAAAAAAGGAAACTATTATTTTGGTAAAATTCCTAAAACAAATGTCATACTTTCCATTTTTTTTTTTTTTTCATCTCTTCTATTTTGCTTCTGGTGGGAATCCAGAGGTGTCCAGGGACTCTAGGAAAAGCTGTTCCTCAGCGACCTCTGAACTTACTACATAGCTCCCCCAATCAATTTCTGGGTGCAATGCTGTGCACACAGTAGGTGCTTAATAAGCACATGTTGAGTTGTGTTCAGTTGTGTGCCTCCCACCACAAAGGTCTGGCTAATTTAGAGCAGAGTCTCACTTTCTAGACTTCTGCAACTCACTAATCATCAAAGTCAGCTTAGGCCAGTTTTTTAATTGATAATGCAAAATTTCAAAAAAGTAAATTTTTCTTGCATATGTTACGGGGGTGGAGATGGTGTATTTAATTTTGTGAGATTAATATCAATTTTCTAAATCATCCACGTAATGTCTATAAGCCTGTTTTGCTAATGGATAAAATACTGCTTCTATGAATGACATACTTTATTCTACTAAAAAGAGGGTATAGGAAGTATAGTTTCAGAGTTTCTCTGTTTTTGCTATAGTGCATACTGAAAAGGAGAAATTAAAGTGTTTCAAAGCCCCTTTTCCATATCTGCATTGGTTATCTTTTAAGATGCCACTGACTTCTCTGATTCTTCTTCTCAAAGCTCTGTTTACTAGCGAACTTCTTAGGCAAGAACAGGCCAAACTCAATGAAGCAAGAAAGATTTCAGTGGTAAACGTAAACCCAACCAACATTCGGCCTCATAGCGACACACCAGAAATCAGAAAATACAAGAAACGATTCAACTCGGAAATACTTTGTGCAGCTCTGTGGGGTACGTTGGTGCTTTTTTTTTTTTTTTTACCACTCATTAATGAATTGACCGTCGAACAGTAAAGGTCTGTGGATCTTACCATTAGGAGAACACTGATTGAATCATGGGTTTTAGAGACTTAACTTGAGACTATCTTGACTTCAGCAGAGACCAAAACAATTTTATATGTAAAAAGAATGAATACCCTGACACCCAGGACGACAAGATCAGGTTCAGAGTGACCTCGTCACATACAGTGATGTGCTAAAGCCAATGACAGAACTAGCTACCACTTACCACACACCCACTGTGTGTCCAGCGCTGTGTGTACACCCCACGTTCATTCTGTGTAATCCATACGACCTCCTTCAAGAGAAATAATGGCATTACCTTTATTCATTTCACAGCTGAAAAACAAGCCAGTGTCTTTTAATGAATTGCTCAAGGCCCTACACTAGCAGTAGCGAGGTGACACTTGAAAAGAACAACAAACGAGGAGCCTTCCCCTTGAGTTCAAAACATCATCAACCTGCAGTTCTTAGTTTAAAAACCTGCAGGTTTTAACTGACCTCAAATTCAGTACAAATGTGATTAGATTCTACCAAAGTCCAGGTCTGTACATAAATGTTATGTACCGATCAAGGAAGGATGTGGCCCATCTATACCCATCTAAAGTACTAGGCCTGGATTGGGACACCATGATTTTAAAAGGGAAAAGCATCTGAGATGTTAGTGGAAAGAGTGTGAAGCCTGAAAACCATTTCATGAAAGGTGTGAGGGAGGCTGCGTCTTTTGGAAAAGAGACAGAAGAGAACAAGTTAACCACGTTTAATATTGAGAGGGTTGGTATGTGGACAGCAGAGCAGACATCCGTGTGGCTCCGAAGATAGAAGTACAACAATTTAGAGACGTTAGAGAGCTACGTGCTCATGAATATAATCCACTGCATAGTGAACCTCTCAGTGTGTGTGTGTGTGTGTGTGTGTGTGTGTGTGTGTGTGTGTGTGTGTGTGTGTGTGTGTGTGTGTTGGGGGGCAGGGGGATGGATGATTAGTTTTTCTAGGGATGAAATTTTAGGAGTATAGCTATCCAAACAAGACCATTATCTGCCAGAGCTTTCGAAATAGGGATTAAGGGGGATAGATGATTAGTTTTTCTAGGGATGAATTTTTAGGAGTATAGCTATCCAAACAAGACCATTATCTGCCAGAGCTTTCGAAATAGGGATTATTGCATGGGATTTAGATACCTGAGGAGTCCCTTAAAGTCAGTATTTCTGTGACTGTCAGGCTACGAACACCTTCTCTTGAACTGGTCTATCATTTTCCTAACAGAGAGCAGAACCTAGAGGGTATGGGGCATGAGACAGCTAAATTTTGGTATGAGAAGGAGGAAAGGCTTTTCTTCCAATGGGGTGGTGAAATGAAACTATTGTACCTTGAAGGTGGGTAGGCTAGAAATCACTGCATGAATAGGGGTGGGGCTGAGCCTTGGGGAAGAGAGGTGGTGGTTACGGGAAGGGAATAAGGGCAAACCGTGCCAGCCGGACACCTGTGCCTGCAGCTTCTCCTGGTGGGGACGCTCTACACTAGGTAGTAAATGGCTGGATGTGATGAAGGCTGCTCCCACTTTATCAAAGAAAACTAATTTCATTACCAGGAGGACGTGATTTAATTACTTTGTCAGAACTTCTACACTCCCTACTGCAGTACCTATTGCCCATTAGTTTATATTTACAAGGCATGGTTACTTAGGTTTTACAGGGACCCCAGATACAGGTTAAAGCCCATAAAAAGTCATTCTTGGGGTGCTGCTTAAATTTGCAGGTGTAAACCTTCTGGTGGGAACTGAAAATGGCCTGATGCTTTTGGACCGAAGTGGGCAAGGCAAAGTCTATAATCTGATCAACCGGAGGCGATTTCAGCAGATGGATGTGCTAGAGGGACTGAATGTCCTTGTGACCATATCAGGTATGTTAGTAAGATGACTGAGTTCCCCAGGTCTGCACTGGTGGGAAAGGTGACCACCTCATTTCTGAACAAACAGTAAGCTTTGCCCCTCCCAGCCAACAAGCAACACAATAAATTATGACAGTGTAGCCAGAGAGAGACCACCCACGTTTTGTAACACTGGAGATTCTGACCTCCAAAGGGAAGTCTGCCACCTCTGCATTAAATCTGAATTAGGCAGGGACCTGCCACAAAGGATATGTATTTATAGGCCTTTACCTCTGTCAGAACTCAGCAAGGATCTTTTTAAGGTGTCTGCACTCCAGTTATTATCATCTACTCTCAGATGGAGAATGTCACAATGTAGGCTTCTGGGAGGGAAACTTGGTAAGCATAAATTTCTCCAAGTCTCTTCTAACATTATATTATACTCCACTGATGTTTTGGCAAGTGCAGCTGTCCCACTGGGTGACCAAGTCTGCAAAGGGATTTGAGTGTGGGAATCATTACTGCTATACGCTGCATCTTTCTGATTTCTAAAAACAGCTTTTAAACAAACAAACAGACAAAAAAGGTGGAGACAAAAATGAAGGTTGTATTACCAGTGAGTTAAAAATGCAACCTGAAAGGTTTGTTCTTTCTGATGGTGTTTGAAGGAGTTTAACAAATAGCACCTCTCTCTTCACCTCCTATTCCATCCAGTAAGGAACCAACTGTACAACAGCACTTTAGAATCATGGGGGGGAGATGAGAAAATCCAGGCTGCACCCCGACCAGGGTCAGAACCCCGGGGGGTCGGGTGGGGCTTAGACATCAACAGCTCTCATAGCTCCTGAGGCCTTTCCATCGTGCAGCCCAGTTTGACAGCACAGCTCTGTACTCAGCCAGTGTTTTGCAGAGACAACACTGGGTTGAACCTTATAGAAAGTTCAACTCTTCAGCCGCACTTCTATTTTAAGAAAATGTCTTCAGTTGGCACTACAGTTCTCTCTTTCATTTACCTTTCCACTAAATGCTCAGAGTTTCATCTCTTTTTATCCTCTCTAAATGAGGGTTAGCCAAGTAAATTGTTCATGTATTATCATTTAATTGTGTCGTCCTTTGTTCTGGTTAATTGCTTTCTTGGTCTCTACAATACCAAATCAAAAATGAAGCCTTACATCTGTCAGTCACCTACCAGAAATGGAAATGCTACCAGAAAATTCACATTTAGGCTTTGTTATGTTAGTGACACATACGCATTCTTAGGAGTGTAACAATTTCCTCTTATCATGAGGCACAGATGGGAAAAGGAGAAAATGAAAACGGGGGCAAAAGACTTTTGAACCACCCTCAGATCTGCACTGGCAGAGAAAGGAGGAAGCGCGGGCTCTCCTGCCCATCCTTGCTGTTGCAATCAACACAAAAACAAATTCCAACTGCACCATGGTTCCCTTAGTTTAAGTTATGAATGCACCCTCCTGTCAAGTCCAGTGTGCAATGCTTTAATGAATTCTTTTCATCTGGTGTATATCCATCGGTGAAATATAAAACATCTTTAAAGCCTAAGATAAATCAAATGGAAATAAGTGTCCAAAAAATATAACCCACAGGGCTAACTTTCTCATTTTTTGAGTCACCCCCATGAACACTTTCTTATTCTTATCAGATAATCTAATGGAGTGTGTTAAATTTTGCTCCTTGGGTATACTTCAGTATTGTCTAGATGTTTTCTTATCATCCTATGAATTCTTTACTCCAGCATCACTTTACCAAAAAGAACTCTGAAGTGTTCTTTTCAAATCCACACATCTTTTTTCCTTTTTTTTTTTTTTTTTTTTTTTTTCCTTT